TGGTCCCTCACAGGCCATGGGCTCTGGGTGAATGTCCAGTGAAGCTGGGAACAGCGACCATGGGGCCTACATGTGCTCAAAGCCAGTTCAATTTATGTCTCATCTTCTGGGAAGATGCCACCTGGTATCCTCCGGCCCGCACATGGAGTTGTCCATACTTCCAACTGCCCTTCCAGGGCTCTTGTGGGTTTGGAAGAAAGTTACAAATACTAACAAAGTCCTCTCTGCCTGCACCTTCCTTCACCAGCCCCTTCCTATCATTGGGCCCCACTGATCGTCACCTCCTTTGAGAAGCCTTTGCCTGCTAGCTACTGGTATAGTCCTGTTTTACTTCTACTAGGCATCATTGCCTGACTTTTGACTCATGTCACGTATGTATCTCTCCTCACCCCATCCTAGTCTCCCCACTACTAAAAGGAGAAATATCCAGTTTCTGGGAAGGAGAGCCTCTAAGAAAATGGGACCCTAGGGCTGAAACTGAAGACAACTAGGTGTGGTCAACAGGTCCTACACATGCAGGGCCTGGGTGGTCAGTGGCACAGTGCGTTCCAAGGCCTACCGATAGCTTTGGATGGCTCCTGTCCGCAAAGATAGCATGGGCATCCTGCAGTGGAGGCGTTCCTAGGAGCAGGTGCCAATGGTGCATTTGCATGACGGATTTGACTACAGCAAGTGGGAGAGTGTGTGGGCTGCCCAGTGGTCCTCTGGCATCTTCTCAGGTCAGTGTGCCAGGTCTGGGATTCCCCATAGAAATGGGACTAATAATCTTATATGGTCAGCCCCATGCAGAGTGATTCTTTGAAACCTGTAAAAATATCTTGTGTTTGTTGTAAAATTAGGTAATATTCCTCACTTTCCTGCACCCTTGACTGGATTTTCTTCCACTATGGTTTTAAGTAGATTTTTTGATATATATTTATCTTATGTTTTTCAGTTTGGAGACATAAACTCACTAGACCCAGGTTGGCCTTGAACTCACTATGTAGCCAAGGCTACACACTATCCTCCTACCTCATCCTTCCAGGTTCTGGGACTATGGGCATGTGGCACCACTCCTGGCTCTTATGTTTTATTTTTAATGGGCAATAATTGTACATATTTATGGGATGCAATGTGATATTTCAATAAATGTATACAACGTGTAATAATCAAATTGACAATCAGCATATCCATCACCTCAGACATTTGTGTTTTAGGATTTAGGGAACCCCCTAAATCCTCTATTTTGAAATAGGTACTTGTCAAACATAGTTGCTCTACTGTGCTATAAGAACATTAGAAGTTATTCCTCATATCCAGCTGCACCGCTGTACTCATCAACCATCCTGTCTTCATCCTAAACCCCCTCATTCTCCCCAGACTCTGGTAAGCCCTGTTCTATTCTCTACTTCTTTGGGATCCACTTTTTAGCTTCCACACATAAGTGACAGCATGTGGTGTTGGTCTTTTTGGGCTTGACATATTTCACTTAACAATGTTTTCCTGGTCCATTCATATTGGTACAAATTGAAAGATTTCATTCTTCAGGCTAAAAAGTGTTTGATTATATACACGCACTTCACTTTCTTTATCCATTTATCATTTGATGGACACCTAGGTTGACTCCATGTCTTGGCTGTTGTGAACAGTGTCACAGTAAACATATGAGACTGCAGATGTCCCTTGGATACACTGACTTCAATTCCTTCACATAAATACCTAGGAGTGGCATCGATGGATCATACGGTAGCTATATTTTTTGAGGATCCTCCATACTGTTCTTTGTAACAGCTGTACTAATTCACTTACCTCAACAGTGTATGGAAGTTCTCTTTTCTGCACATCCTCATGTATGTTTGTCACTTTCTGTCTTTTTGCTTACAGCCATTCTAACTGGGATGGTATCTCACAGTGGCTTTGATCTGTATTTCCCTGATTAGTGATTCATTCTCTCTCCCTCCTCCCCCCTCATATACTTGTTGGTCTTTTATCTTCTTTTGAGCCTTGAGTGGATCTATTTAAGTAAAACACTAAGTCATATCAAGTGTTTTCCTGCTATAGAAAACAGTGGTACGAATATGGTGTTTCCTGTGGTTGCTGCAACAAAGAACCACAAACCAAGAGACTTAAAAGCAATTGGGCAGGGCATGGTGGCACATGCCTGTAATCCCAGCCCTCAGGAGGCTGAGGCAGGAGGATTGCCATGAGTTTGAGGCCAGCCTGGGCTACATAAGTGAGTTCAAGGCCCCCCTGCACTGCATAGCAAGACCCTGTCCCAACCCCTGCAAAAAAAATTGGAATTCATTTTCCCACAGCCTGAGTCAAAGTATTAGAAGGGCTGCACTCTCTCTAAAGACTCTAGGGGAGGGCGCTTCCAGCCTCTTCCAGCTTCTGGTGCCTCTAGACATTCCTTGGCTTGTGGCTGCCTCCCTCGTTACAGGGCCTCCTCACCTGCATACCTATGTTTCTCTCTTCCTTTTCTTTTCTTTTTTTTTCTTAAGGCAGAATTTCGCTACGCAGTGCAGGGTGGCCTTGAACTCATTTACACAGCCCAGGCTGGCCTCAAGTTCATGGTGATCCTCCTGCCTCAGCCTGCTGAGTGTTTGGATTACAGGTGTGCACCACCATACATGGCTTTTTCTCTCCTCTTATGGAGACCTTGTTTACACGGGAGTTAGGCCACCACTCAAACTCCAAGATGAACTCTTTTTCACCTAACTAATTACATCTGCACAGATTTCCAAATAAAATTACATTCACATGTCCCTGTGGACATGAATTTTGGGGGGATGCTCTTCAACTCAGTGTGTTTATACTGGAAAATCTGGCACTTCCTTTCCCAGTGGTGCTGAGTTCCTAAATATCCCATGAGTGTCTAACACAGTAGAGGTAAACTCAGGAACAGACCCTGTCACCTGGATGTCGTCATGAGCATGGCTGGCTGCTGAAGAATACTAATGAAGTATGATACAGTACCGAGCCTTACTAAAAAATTTTTAAAAATCACTTGGGATCATCCCATATCTGGTCTATATATGAATTTCCCCAAATGCTTTTGTGGAAGGTTTGTAAAATCAATGTTCACATCTCACATCCGGTGTTTTTTGTTTTTACTGTTTGTGTCAGTGTTGGGGATGGAATCCCAGGACCCGCCCACATGCCAGGCAATTGCTCTGTCACTGAGCTACACCCCCAGCTGATTTTATTTCATAAGTCTCCCTTATCCCTTTCTCCCCTGTCCCTTGTTCTCAGCACCCCTCCCCTACTTGGGCCAATACGTTACTTTCTCGATGTCTCTGGCCTGCAGGGTAGCACAGGCTGGTGGGGAAACTGCAGGGGAGGTTGGTCTCAGCTGCCCAGATCTGAGTCAGAAGGTACTCAGACCATACTTGGGTGGTGCACGTGCATGTGCAGTCCAGAACTCTGGTCTACGGGCTTCCTTAATTCCGTGTATTTTGGAGAAATACTCTTTGTGGGGTTGCTGTGCTCTTTGCATTTTAGGACAGTGGGGGACACGTGTCTGCTTCTCTCTGGGTGATGCTGAGACTAAGATCTGTCTGGCAGAGCCTGGCATCAAAAGGGAACATGTATCACCCTCCCCCAAACCTACAAACAACCTGCAAGGAGATACTTTGCCATTGTAGAATTATCCGGCACTCACTCTCACCCAGCAGCTACTAACAAACAGTCCTTGCCTGAAACACCGACTTCATTAGGCTCAGAATGGGATTTCCTAATCATGTCAGTTTCCTTTACTTCTACTAGTTGGATTACTGGATAAATAACAACTTTTCCTTCAACTGGGGCCATATGGTGGCACTGAAATACAGTCCCATGAAAGGAGAGGAAATGCCTAATTTTGTCACTTATGAATAATCTCAGGCTTATAGAGAAAGGAGCTGAGTCAAGAGCCACTTCCAGAGCTGACAAATTAATGTATTTTTGAAAATAAGTCTTGGGTTTTACCTAATCATTCCTTTCAGTACTCAAATAGTCCCAGTGGATGGGACTATTTGACCAATAGATGCTCCTGATGGCTTTTAATTTCAAAATAATAAAGACTCCCAGGAAGCTGTAAGAACAATATTAACGGTGAAGAGCAAACTGTGTGCTTCCTGTGTTTCCCCAGATCATGTCTTGTGTGGCCACAGTACAAGACCAACACCAGGAAGAGACACTGGTACAGTGTGTGGTTCTGCATCTCATTACCACAGGCAGAGTTGTATAACCACTATGGCCACGAGGACAGACAACTGTCTACTCCCTGCAGCCACCCCTCCCCCATTACTCCTAACTCTTGGCAGTCCAACTGTCCTCGTATCTAGTTTGGATTTCAAGACTGTTACTATATGGGTTCAGAGTGTGTGACCTTTTGAGATGGGTTTTCTCCTTGGCATAATTCCTGAGACCCAGCCTCTGCTGCATGTTACTAGTCCCGTGTCCTCCTGCCATGACTCCATTGATCTTCCAAGTGTCAAATCTTGGACACAAGGGGGCCCTGGGTCTGCTACCTCTGGAGGTGGCAGTTTCTGCAGGAGAGGGACAGCATTTAGAGCCCCCAGTCTGGGCTCTGCGTGTTCACTGGTGCTTGGTGGTGTTTTGCTTTGGCCGCTTTCCTGCTACACAGCCAGGAAATGATTTGTTGAAAACCATGAGTTGATCTGTACTGCTTTGTCCAGATTATATTTAACACTACGGTGACTTCTCCCTTTGTTTTTACTGTATTTTATCTCTTACATTAAAATCTTGATTGCTGACATATATATTATTTTCTTTTCTCAGAATGGTTTGGAAATAACTATGTCGATATTACTAACAACAAAACTACTGAATGATGTGATTCCTCTGCACCTTCTGTCTCAGCAGATACCTGACTATGACAAGCAGCAAAAAGGCAAATCCTCCCATCTGTTGGGAGTCATCCTTTTGTTGTTTTTTTTTTTTTTTTTTTCTCCAGTACCAGGAACCGAACTCTCGACCTTGCACTTGCCAGGCAGGCGCTTTGCCGCTGAGCTAAATCCCCAGCCCCTGGGAGTCATCCTTTTGATTTGATTCAGTCTATGGCTGTTATGGATTGGACCTTGGAAGTCCCCCGAAGGCTCTTGTGTGAAAAGCTTGGTCCCTGACCTGTATTATATTGGGAGGTGCTGTGGACCTTTAGGAGGAGGGAACTAGCAGAAAGACGTTAGGTCACTGGCAGCGTGTCCTTGAAGGGGACATCGGAACCCTGGAATCTTTCTCTGCTTCCTGGCAACCATGATCTAAACAGCTTTGTTCCTCCATGCACTCCCTGCCACGTTCTGCTTCACCACTGGCCCAAAAACTATGGTGTAAGCCAAACATAGTCTAAGACGCCTGAAACCATGAGCCACAATAAACCTTTCCTCCTTTGAAGTTGATTTTCTCCCATCCAAGTACTAACCAGGCCCGACCCTGCTTAGCTTCTGAGATCAGACAAGATTGGGCGCTTTCAGGGTGGTATGGCCGTAGACAAAGTTGATTTTCTTAGCACAGTGGCCCATCGTATTTCTGGTTTTCCTTTTTTTCCAGAACCACTCTCTGCCCCTCCCTGTGGAAGTGGGTGGGCCTTTGCAGCAGCCCCCACTAGGGAGAAGTCATGTCATGGCCTCTGAAGTTGGATCCTGAAAGGTCCTACAGCCCCACATAAGTCCATGAACCCGAGGAGCTACCACGTCCACCTGGAGAGACCACACATTGGTGAGAGACGCCAAGCAGCCCCAGACCAGGGTCCAGTGTAGACCTCAGGTAAGCCTGCCTGAGATTCATGAGTCTATGATCAGATGATCATTCTTGTATTCAGACACCAGATTCTCAGGTGTCTGTTATGCAGAACAAGCTGTTTTACTTTGTCTCAGGGGCTTTTTTCTTACTGGGTTATTATTATTATTGTTATTATTGTTCTTTTGTATGTAAAACACTGGCAAGGTTGAAATGTCAGAAGCCAACCCCAGGGCTGTCCTCACTGCTCACAGCCACAGCATTCCCCACAGTGCTCCTGGGCTGTCTCAAGATCGTCTGGGGCACAGGTGAGCTCAGCTGGCCTTGTACTACATCCCATACTGCTTTAGTCAACAGCACAAGCATGGGACTTATACCATACAATTGTCTTCAAGGTTAGTTTCCCACAAGCAGGACTACAAGAAAGGGCCAGTGTCTTGGGCCAGTATAGCCACCCTCCCCACATAGGCTGCTGCACACACATGAACACCATGAGGCCCACCTCCTTGACAATCTGTTGTCCAATGGAACAGATCTAGTACTAACCTTTGCAAGCACAAGGCAGGTTTAGGCTCCTGGTTACAAAGATCTGCTATCTTCTGCTATTAAGGATATAGGACATGTTTGCTTGTGGGTGCTGTCAGCTCCAGTGAGCACTGTGCAGGAGCCCATGGCGAGGACAACCCGTCACCCCCCATGCTGGCCCAGGTGACCAACACTCTGGCTGTGCTGAGAACCTTATCTCACCCACCAGATCATCCCAGGATCCTTGTTGCCCAGGGCAGCCCTGGCAGCTGGCCAGGGACTGCCCCACAGAGCCCTGGCCCTGTGGCAGTGAAGTGGAGCTGCTCTACTGGAACCTGCAGTGTGTGTATTCATCAGAGGCCAGGCAGACTGAGTAGCCTTTGTCCAGGCCCAGCAGGATCCGCCAGGCTGAGCTGGCCTTTTTCCTACTCAAATACCTTCAATTGCGCCCACACAGCAGAGATTAGCAAGAGCTGCCAGCATGTGCGATGAGAAATTCCTGGACTGGCTCAACTGACTGCTGAGCACCTAAGTCATAACCTGCTGATCAAGCGGCTGCTGCAGGCAATCAGGAGCTGAGTATGCAGAGTGATGGAAAGAGGTTGGAGTGGGCCTCATTGTTTAGACGAATTTATTAAAGTGTCTCAGAGTGACGATGACATGCACCTGGATGAACACAGCTCCTGGTTTAGGGTCCAAAGACAGCTGTAAACATGACGGGAGCACAGGATGCTGTCACCAGACAAAGGTCCTCAGTCCAGAATGGCCAGATTTGAAGGACGGCCTTGTGCCTCTTCACTGGAGGCTTCCGTTCTGAACCATCTGCAGATAATCCTTGTGGAGCTTCTCTTGTGCTTCGAACAGCTTCCTCAGCTTCTTGGCTTGCCCCTTGCTCAGCTCCTTGCCCTCGGTGTCATGTGTGGGTAGGCCCTGCAAGGATAGCACAGCACCGTCAGGCTCCTCTGACACCCAGCACCCGCTTCCTTACCCTTCTGCCCCTACAAGCTCATCTCAACATGGCAGCATTCACTTGCATGCATGTCTGGTCACCACAATGCTCAAGGACCAGCATGCTGATCCTGCAGCACCGGCTGTAGGAGCTAAGAATGGAGAGACTGACCAGAGTCAGACACCCTGCCAGGTTGAGGGACACTGTACCTATCAGACCCTACCAAGGCTCAACTCTGAGGTGGCCAGCTTGAAGGTATATAGCAAATATATTGAAGAACAAGCAGGAATGCTGAGTGTGGTGGTGAGTGCCTGTAATCCCAGCACTCAGGATGCTGAGGCAGGAGGACCTTGTGGGAGAGGTGTGAGTTTGACGCTAGAGGGAGCTATATAGTGTGTTCAAGGCCGCCTGAACTACACAGTGAGAGCCTTATCGCACAAAAACAAAAACAAAAAACAAAAAACAAGCAAACAAAAAAACAAGAACAAACAGGGAGAGCTCACCTCTCCTGCCTTTTGGCTACGATCAAGTGAAGAACAAGCAGGGAGAGGCTCTATGGCCTAACACTTAGAGGCAAGGTCCCCATGGAACCCTGGAATTTCCCACAGTCATCCTAACCTTGGCTCAGGCCATGGCTCCCAGATGTAAGCTCAGCCACATCGCTGGCAGACAGACCTGGCTCAGCCTTACTGCAAGGGTGCTTGGGGTCTGAGGTCCTAGATGATCCCAGCTTCTCTTAAAACCTTTGCCAAATAGAAAACTCACTTGGCCAAAGCTGAAAATTCATGTTACCCCAATTCAATGTGGTCTAATAACTTCTAAAAAGCAGAGAAGGACTTCTTACATTTTCATCAAATTTGGAATACTTGTCACTTTCCGACAAGAACATTTCGCTGGGTGGAATCTTCATCTTGGCCAGCTTTGCTGCCTGGAACACACAACACCTGGTCACAGCTGTGGAGTGGCACATGGAGAACTCACACTGTCATCATGATGCCCACTCCCACCCCAGCCAGATCACTGCAGAAGATGCGTGAGAAAGCTGCAGCAGGGACCTGAAGGGAGGGGAGGTAAGATGAGCCAGGGGTTTATGGGACCAGTGGGGAGGTGGTTGAGACAGCAGCCAGACTGTAAGGGTCGCTGCAGGAGCGTGTTCTTCTCCCCTGCTGGGCTCCCAGGTTCCAGAGCACTGGGTGAGGAGCGTGGGTAGAGGCAGAGCAGAGATCCCTCTGGGAGGGTCCCCAGGGTGCCTGGCTGAGCCATGGGGCATGGGTCAAAGCACAGCCCCAGCCCTACCCCGACAAACAAATGCATGCCACCTCTTGCTCTTGTTTTCTCCTGGCCGCTTCTTCCTTCTTCCTCCTCTTCTCTTCTTCAACCTAGGGGAGCAGCATAGGCCTGAGATGGATTCCAGTGGGGGTGGACTCTTGCCTGGACCCACCCACGGTGGAAGCATGAGCCACAGGCTGGCAACAAGGACTCAGGCAGCACACAGTGTCCTGATCACAGCTAGTCCTTGTTCATTCCCTCCTAAGATTCTCAGTAGCCCTTTGGGTACCCAGCAATTCTGGGGATACTGGGGGGCAGGGGCAGCAGTACAGACAAAATGTTAAAAAGATTCAGCACAACAGGAAGAAACAGACCAGGCTGACACACCTAGGCTGGGGAGCGGGGTAACTATGTCTGGTAGCTGACCAGGGACAACCCTGCACAGGTCACAGGCACAAATAAAGGAGCTAGGCCCTGAGGTAGGATGGGGAAAGGAAGTCAGAAATCAGCAAGTGCCAGGGCCTGTGGGGGGCCAGCCTTGGGGCAGACAAAGAGATGGGACAGGAGGAAACAAGAGTGAAGGCCAGGATCTGGCTCCAGCTCAGCAGGCACATCCAAGCAGGGATGGGAGGGAGGCCTGGGCAGGGCAAGGGCTGAGAAACCGCTGGCCTGGGCTGGGCAGTAAAGCCTGCAGGCTGGGTTTGGGCAAGGGGAGGTCTGAGGAGGCTGCCCGGGGAGGTCCTGGCATGGGCTGCTAGGTGAACAAGGAGGAGGGGCAGGTTCAGGGAGTTGGAAACCACAGCTCCTTATGTACGTCCCGGGCTTCAGGTGCTTCCTGGCCATGTGCAGGGATCAGGTTGGCAGTGGGCACAGGGGTTTGGCAGGTGAGCCAGGGCTCATGGTGGACACAGGGTGGCAGCAGAGAAGCTGTAGGGAGGGAAGAGATGGGAAAAGCCCAGAGACTCAGGGAGAGGCTGGCTGGGGAGCTCCTGGGAGATGGAAGGTGGGAAGGGAGGAGAGACGATAGAAGGGAAGGAGGGGTGCCACTGGATGTGTCAAGGAGAGCAGCGTCAGGTGAGGCCAGTGACCTGGTCATCAGGATGTAGCAGAGGAACCTTGGGACTTGGCGGAGTGGAGATGTGTGCTCAGGATTTCTGCTTTTCCCTTTCTGAGGCAGAAATGTTTATGGTCTACTGGGAATATTCCAGGGGAGAGAGGGATACAGGGTATGCTGGAGTGGCCCTGGCGGCACCTGTGCCAGTTTGGTTGTAGTGAAAGCCTCCTGGTTGGACAGCATGGAATGTGAGAAGTCATTAGCTGCTGCCACCAAAGGAGGTGGTGACGAAACAGCAGGCGGGTGGGGCTGCAAGGCTCCACCTGTCACTCTGCAGCGAGGAAGAACTGCTTGATCCCAGTCACTTCTCCCTGGTGTGAGGCAGGACAAGGCAAACTGGCTACAGGGTGACAGGAAGGGCACAGCCGGCCCCAGGGAAACTTCACACCACACTGTGGGCCCCACAGAGCCCAAGCTTGCTGGCTGAAGAGGGGAGGTGAAAGACAACCCAGGAGGGGATACAGGCCGAGGAGAGGAGACGCTGAAGCATTGAGGAGAGGCTGAGAAAGGCCCCTCGGGAGGCCAAACCATGACTTTGAGGTGTGGGCCCAGCACCTTCAAATCTCCTAAGTAGTATGAGGTCACCACTCTAACTTCCAGAGCTCCAGGCATCACTCTCCTGGGCTACAGGACAGCTCCTCTTGGGGAGGCCCTGCAGACCCAGCGTTGCTCCTGAGCCAGGAGCTTCTCCAGGCCCATACATTCTCAATTCTGCTCCCTGACCCTGAACATCAGTTCTGTCACCCAACTGCCCCAATTACTCCCTCAGACCCTTTTGAGGGCCTGCTGTGAGAGCTCCCTGCCCAGCCCTCCTTCACACGGTCTTGAGCCTATCCCCAAAGGTTCCTGCATGGCCTGAGTCCAGCTACCTCCACTGCTGCCACCTGCCCCCTGCGGGCCTGTACGCTGTGCCCAGCAGCTCAGATGATGTGTGTTTTCTTCCTGGCATTTTTCCTACTAGCCACTCAGGTCCTGGAGTGTAGAGACTTCTTGATCAGTGCAGCCAACACCTGGCAAGGTCTTGGCAAACCGGCACATGGAGCGTTGGAGGGAGGGTAGGAGGAGGGGTTTTCAGGGGATGTGTGGAAGGGAGGGACAAGGGGAGGTGTGGGGGACACAGGCACTAAAGTCAGAGCCAGGCGGAACCCGCAGTTTGCTAAGTAACTGTGCTTCAGTTGACGGAGTAACATTTAAGAAAAGGTCCCTCATTAGAAGATACAGTGTCCAAATTGCCAAATACTTACTCTAAAGTTGACTTTCTTCTGACATTTTTAAGGTCTAGGTTTTTTGTGGTGTTCAGTATGGAACCCAGGGTCTTGCATATGCTAGGCAAGTGCTGTATCACTGAGCCACACTCTAGCCCTATGATTGGGACTTTTAAAATAAAAGCATAAACATCAATTCTTTATCCATTCATTTATGCTCTTGGGAATTGAACCAGGGCCTCTGCACTGTGTCTCATCCCAGCCCTTCTTTGTGGTCATTTTTAACTTTTGAGACAGTCTTGCTAGGTTACTAGACTGCTCAGGCTTGGTTTGAACTTTCGAGCCTCCTGCCTGAGCCTCCTAGAGCGCTGAGATTACAGGCATATGGCACCATGCTGGGTCAGTTCTTAAAATCTACAGCCAGGTAAGGTGGTGCATACCTATAATCACAGTACTCTGAGAGGCTGAGGCAGCATAATCATAAGCTTGAGCCCCAGCTGGGCAACTCAGTGACAGCACGATCCTGCCTTAAAAAATAAAAAGGGATGTAACTCAGAGTGAGGGCCCCAGGTTCAATGCACAGTACCAAAAAAAGAAAAAAAAAGTAAACTATGTAATCCCAACAGTATTTTCATTTCCAACAAAATTAAGCTCAATTGTTTTAATTTTACTGACCCTTTTCTTCTCTTCCCTCTCTTTCAGTAAGGTGTCTCTGTCCACCAGTTTCACCACCGTTGGCAGTCCTGAAAAATACACAGTAGGTAAAATGCTGGCCTGTGGACCTCTGTCCCCTGTTGGGCTGCCGCATCCAGACCTCTGGGCCCAGAAGCCAAGGTCTTCACGCTGTCCACCCACAGGAAGGTGGGAGCTGCCTTATAGTGCACACAGAAAAACCAGCTGCAGGAAGAGCCTTCCACAAAAGCAGTGATGTACTTTGTAATGATGAAGTGTAAAGATTGCACCTATCAGGAACTATCAAATACAAGATATAAACTAAGCATTTAAAAATTAACTACTTAGCAGGGCATGGTGGCACATGACTATAATCCTGGCACTCGGGAGGCTGAGGTAGGAGGATTACTGGGAGTTTGAGGCTAGCCTGAGTTACACAGTGAGTTCAAGGCAGCCTGAACTACGCAGAGAAAATCTGCCTCAAAAAGTAAAAAACAAAAACAAAAAAATCCCCCAAAATTCCCCCTAAAACAAAGAAAACTCCAAACCAAACAACCCCCCACCCCAACCTATCTCAGTTGGGCATGGTGGTTTATGCATATAATCCTAGCACTCTGGGAAACTAAAGCAGGAGGACTATAAGTTTGAGCCCAGGCTGGGCAACTCGGTAAGACCCTGTCTCAAAAAACAAAAACAAAGACAAAACACAACAAAAAGATGGCATGCACCAATTACCCTAATAATTATCAAGGCTAAAGTAAGAGAGTCACTTCAGTCCAGGAGTTCTGGGCCAGACTGGGCAACATAGCCATCTCAAACAAACAAACCCAATAAGCAGTTTAAAAAAAAAAACAACTTAGGCACATGCCTGTAATCCCGGTACGTGTGAGTCCTGGACAAGATTTCAAGTTTGAGGTCAGCCTGAGCTACATAGCAAGTTCTAGTCTGGATTATAGGGCATGACCTTGTCCAAAATGAAATTTTCTGTGCAGTAAAATACCCCACAAAGACAGAAGACAAGCTCTGTGATGCGGTGACAATTCCCAGGACACAAACTCATTTTCTTGAAAGTGTAAGGAAAGGCAGTTGGCAGTCAGCAGAACAGGTAGTGGGTGGTCAGGTCCAGGTGGAAATAAACACATCACACACAAGGAGATAAACCTTCTGGGGGGATCCCCAGGGATTCTAAAGCAACACATTAAAAACAACGGCCCCTTGGTCACTCCCAGAATTCCTGCTGCATCCTGGTGTCTTTCCACCACCAGCCCATCTTGACCTGCTCTTGGCTATACCCAACGTGCAGCTTGAGGGGCTCACCTACCTTCATGGTCCTCAAACCGCACCCCTAAATCAGGCAGGATGTCATCCCGGAGGGCATCACTGAGCTGGAGGACCTCGGGGACTGTTGGTAAAGGAAAGTAGTTCTGTTACACACAAGGTGAGGTCTGGTCCTGGAGGGAGTGAGGCTTCTCTAGCACTTGGGGGAGGGGGTGCCGGCTGCTCAATTCTGAGGAGGCAGAAGCGCTGAGATGCATTAGCTGAGCTAGGATTCTCCTGCAGTCCAGGACAGAGCACAGGCCCAATAGCCACCCTGGTGGTGAGCCTTTGGGGACTGCCAAGGACAGGAAGATGTTAACAGGCTGCCTGCCCAGCACCCAGAGCCACGACCTGTGTGAAGATCATCTACAGACTATTTCTGGGTAAATCCAGGGGCCAAGCTCACTTCCTGGAAATAGATTTTTACTGTACAATCACAAGGCTCCAAAACCATCCCAGTACCTATTTCCTGGTGAAGGAGTCAGAGCTCCTAGCTACTGCCATCCTGGCTACTAGGCCATGGTCTGGGACCAACAGCACACGTGCCCTGTGTCACCCTAAAGTCTTGACAGGGCTCCTTGCTCTCCCTATGAGGGCCTCAGTGCCAGAACAGTGCGCCCATGATTCCAAATACCCCTGAGAGAGCCAGAACATAGCTGTTGCTCATGCCTTTTACCAGGAGACACAGCTGAGCCTGACTGCCAGGACACTGCCCATGGCTCTGACTCCAGAGCAGGCTGGGTGCATGCTGCCAGGCCTAGCCCAACCCCCCGGGGGGTGGCTACTCCAGATGTTGGCCAGGCAAAGCAGAGAGCTCAAAAGAGCCTGAACAACAAAGGCCTACTGGCTTTGAAGTGACCCTTAAGGAGGACACACAAGCTAAGCAGACAGAATAAGTGGGGAACAAAGGATTTTGAGTATAGACACTCCCTGCAGTTTGGACATTCCTAATCGCTGAGTCAGATTTCGTTCTGGTGCCAGAGGCAAAATCACCAACCAGCTGACTCACCCTTTCCTGCCCTCTGTCAAAGAGCACTGTAAAGGTAGGCTGCTCAGGGGCAGAGACTCGCTGTGTACCTGCTCTATAACCACGCTCACAGCAAAGCCACGGCAGCCACACACCAGCTTTCCTGTTCGCTTGGTCAGGCCTGTCCCTGATCAGGTCAGGGGCCCAATCAGGCAAGCGTTTAGGAATGAAGAGTCCTGAAGGACGTGACTGTAGGCAGTTCTTCTGGTTACAATAGCTCAGCCTTTCCAGGAGGACATGTAGCCAAACCCGGTTGCTGAGGAGGGAGCCAGGCAAGTCCATTTGTGACCAGGAAGCCACGGCTGAGCCAGGAACGTGAAACAAGATGTCAAGCGACTGCCAACACCAGCACCATCCCCACTCGCAAGATCTTGTCAAACTGCAGAAAAGATTCTGCTTAGAAGTGCGAACTTAGCAGTTGACTGTCTTTCAGAGCCCAGCCCTGCAGACTGACCCCCCTTGCTTTACAGGGCTCAGCTGGCCCCAGGGGAGGATGGCCTTTCCCACCTCAGGGCTGACCCACTCCCACTGCCCCAGCCCACACTGAGTGCCACTGGGGAAATAAAGGGGTATGACAAGTCAAGTGGGATGCCAACTCATCTCAAAACAATTTAAGGCTATCAAGCAGGAAACAAAGTTGTTTGTAAACTCCACTGCTGTGACTCTTCAAGTTGCAATTTCTGACTGTGAAACTTGACCTGGTTTGGTTGGATTCAGTGCATCTGTCAGCTTAGTTCTACCTCTGCCTGCTGCACCCCTGCCAGCGGGAGCTCTTATAACATCTGCAGGCACACCAGTCGCACTACACTGTCTCTGTGCCTAACCCTCTCTGTCTTCCTGTACCGCTTCATGTCTCTGCAGGGCTGACCACCACACAGGCAGAAGCTAGTCTGTCCTAATTCTGCTCCGTCCCCATGACTGAGACCTATCAGCCACCTGCCGGGCGCCTACAAGTTAATTCACTGTTAAATGAATACCTGGCAATTCCTGCCCACAAGCATAGCTACCTGAGGGCCACATCTTGCAGGGACCTGACAGACAATACCCACCATATTTGATTCCTTCAATCATTCAATGATACCCTGGATTTCACTGCTGGGAAAGGGCCTTCCCTGGCCACTCCAGAGGGACTGACCCTGGGACAGAAGCCAAGCCAAGGGTCCACTCTTTGAAAACTACCCCTGGAAGGCATACTCATTATAAGGAAAGCAAGCCATCAGCAGGTGACAGAATCATCACGACAGGCATGGTAGGGGTGGGGGTGGGTGAAGGGGGGTGGCTCCTTGGCCATGCTACCTGGAAGTACTCTTGGAGTCCCCCTCCTGGAGTCCCTTCAGGCCACACCATCCTCTGATCTGGTCTCTGAAGAGCTGAGGAATGAGACTTGTCATCCTTTGTCATACTGAGACTTGCTCTCATCTACTTAGCTTAAAATTTCCTCCAGGTTTTTCAAATGTTTGATTACTTTGGGGTCTGACTTACTGTTTTGGTTTGTGTCTAGAAGTCCCCCCAAAGCCTCATGTGGTCATAGAGTTTTTTGGAGGTGCCTGAATTTAGAGTTTGTGATTGATTCACAGTTCAGTGCAGGGATTAAGGGTGTGAGTGCTACACCTGCCCTAGGGTAGGTAGCCTGCATACAATATAAGGAACAGAAAGAGGCTTGTCTTCTCCCTTGTTGCTTTTGCTCTCCTATGGGCACCACAAACTGTTCTGTGATGGCCCTCTGCCAAGTCACCCTGCCTTGGAGTCGGCCGGTTATGGACTGAAGCCTCTACAAATTGTGAGCCAAATAAACCTTTCCTCCTGTAACTTTGGGTGTTGGATATTTTGTCCAAGCAACATGCAAAGTAACTAAGACACTTACTCTTCCCTTTTGCAAGTCACATATTACCTCAGAAGAGTGTAGCCTACAGAATATGATAACTCTTACAACTCAACAACCAAAAGACAATTAAAAATGGACAAAGGGCTCCAACAGCCTTTTTTTTTTTTTTTGTCTTTTTTGAGATAGGGTCTCACTATGCAGTTCAGGCTGGCCTTGAGCTCACTTTGTAGCCCAGGTTGGTCTCGAACTCAAATGATCCTCCTGCCTCCAACAGACATTTCTACAGAGATGGTCCATAAACACTTGACAAGATGCTCAATGTTGTTGGTCATTATGGAAATGCAAACCAAAACCACATGGGCTACGACCTAGCACCTGATAGGATGGTGCATGCCTGATATGAGTGAAATTCTGGGTTTACTCCTTAGCTCCACAAAACAAAACAAAACCCAGAAATAACAAGCGCTGGTAAGGAAGTGGAGAAATTGGAAACTTTTGCTCTGCTGGTAGGAATTAACATGGTTCATTCTCTATGAAAAAATTTAGAAATTCCTCAAAAACTAAAATATACTGTTACCATATAACCCCATAATCCCTCCCAACGCGTATGGCCCGGAAAATGGAAAATAAACACTCAGAGGAACACAAGGCCCCTTGTCTACAGTGGCACTATTCACACAGGCAGGAAGAACCCAAACATCTATCAAGTGACAACTGGAGAGCCAAGATGCCGTCTGTCCTTACACTGCAATGTCACTTGGCTCTAAGGACTGAAGCCAGACACACCATGGATGAACCTCAAAAACACTATGTGAGAAGCCACAAAACAGGGTCACATATTATATGATTCCAGCTATATGAAATGTCCAGAATATGAAAATCTACAGATAGAAAACAGACTACTGGGCTGCTGGGGATAGGGGAAGAGGAAATGGAAGAAACCACCCAATGGGTGAGGAGAGAACAAAATGTTTTGAAAATAGAGGTAGAGACCATATAATATTGCCAGTGTACTAAACACCACTGTACTGCCTACTCTGAAAGGTTTTCCTTGTTAGGTGATTTCTGATTCAATAAATTTTACAACACCTGCCTGAGACATCTCCCCTGGGGTGGCATATGTCCAGGAGAGAACTCGAGTGTTAGTGTTCTGTCACTATAACAAATATTCGATATAACTGACTTACAAAAAGGAAAGGTTTATCTTGGCTTACAGTTTTGAAGTTTTCACTATATAACTGGTCGGCCCCATTGCTTTGGGCTCATGGTGGCACATCATGGCAGAAGATGGTGGTGGTGCAAGACTGCTCATCTCACGGCCAGGAAGCAAAGGACAGTGAGGAGGAGGATAGGGTCCACAGTGGCCTTTGAGGACACACCCCAGTGACCCAAAGGGCTCTCACAAGTCCCTACCCTTAAATGCTCCAACACCTTCCAATAATACCTCTCTGGGACCAAGACTTTAACCAAAACCAGGCCTCTGAGAATCATCCAGATCCAAATGCAACCTTAACCCTAAAATTTTAAAATTACCTCTCTATTTCCTTCATTTCTTTGGGGGAGGAGCTGGGTTTTTTCTCACCCCTTTCAACTTTTTTCTTCCTTATTTTCCTTTCATTTCCATATTTTTCTGTTTTTCTTGTTTGTGCTTTTCTGTGACTGTTTTCTAATACTATTGATTTCCTTTTACTCAATAGGACTCCCTATCTCACTTTTCTCTCTGCCTTCTCATCTTATTATAGTTTTTGTTTTTGGTTTTTCTCCGGTACCGGGAACCGAACTCACGACCTTGCGCTTGCCAGGCAGGCGCTTTGCCGCTGAGCTAAATCCCCAGCCCCATGCCTTCTCATCTTCCATTACTTTTCCAACTTTAACATTTTCATTCTCTGGTTCCCCATCTCTACTTTCACTAGTATAATTATTAAGCTTTATGAATCTTTATATAGCTAGTTTATTCTATGCTATTACTATAGAATACTGTTCTATTGTTAATATAAGAGGTAAAGTTGTTCCATTTAGTAGAAATTTACTATAGGTCAATATTTGGTTTGTCTTAGTTTTTATACTGTAATTATAGCTGTCTTTTCAAGGGTTAAGGATGGTACTTTATTGGTTTCTATAGTATGTCAGTATCTACTTTGTCTTTGACAGTATTATTACTGCTGATTTTACTACTTAAAGTCAAGGTAACATAGTTATAACTATTAATTGATTTTTTCTGGATGCCAATATAGGGGTTGCCTTATTAATAATAGTGCAGTCCATTTCCAGAGAACTGGGTACTGAGCCAAATATACTACAGTCTTCCCTCCCAAAGAAACGGGCATCACTGAAAAGCAGACATTAACTAAAGAGATTGACATACTAACAACAAAGCTTTCCGCTATAATTAACTCACAAGCCTCAGCACAAACAAGATATAGAAACATGAAAAGACAGTACAACAAACTGCGTCCCCAAACTCCCATCTTCCTCAAAATTGATACACAGGGCATCATGGGGAGAAAAATCAAAAGGCACACAGCAAAATTATTCAAAAGGATAACAAAGGGATAACAAACAGATCAAGAAGGGTTTGTGGCAAGATAAGTAAGATACAACTGAACTGACAATGGACCTAACAAACAAACTTAGCAGTGAGCCAGATGTGGTGAGAGAAGCCTGTAATCCCAGTACTTAGGTGGCTGAGGTAGAAAAATTGCCAGGAGTTTGAATCCATCCTGTACAACAAAGTGAGCTGAAGGCCAGCCTGAACTACATGAGACCCTGTCTCAAAAAAAATCTCCCTCCCCCCAAAAACCCAAAACTGACAATGAGTCTACAGAATAAAAAGCTATCTGAGCTAAACAAAACAATACAAAACGTGAAGGAGCAGCATAGAAAAGAATTAGAGTTCATAAGAAGGTACCAAAAAGAAATTCCAAGAGATTAAAAATTCCACTATGGTGGTGCATGCCTGTAATCCCACCACTCAGGAGGCTGAGGCAGGAGGATTACCACTTGAGGCCAGCCTGGTTACATACTGAGTTCAAGGCCATCCTGAGCTACATAGCAAGACCCTGTCTCATAAAACAAACAAACATACAAACAAAAAAACTACCAAAGTATAGGCAGCAGAAGTGACCAATGTGAGGACAGAACGTTAGAACTAGAAGACAGGTCTGTTGTTAGTGACCAATTAATGAGCAATACCTAAAAACCAACAAGAGAACATGAAAAATGGATCCAAACAGCTGCCAGATGATACAAATAAGACTAACTTAAGATTAATTGGAATTAGTGAAAAATCAGAAGATTAAAAAAACCTGCTAACTGAAATAATAGAAGACTTTCCAAATATTGGAAGAAGAACTTAACATATAGATAGTGATGCATAAGGACCCCAAATGGGCATAATCATGAAAGAAGCTCTCCACAATACTTCACAGTCAAGATCCCAGAAGTTCAACACAAAGAACAGAGTCTTAAAAGGTATTAAAGAAAAGCAATGAGTCACTTACAAAGGTAAATCCATTAGAAGTACAATAGACTTTTCAACCCAAACCTTAAACACCAGGAGAGTTTGGAGTGAAGTGTTTCAAATCCTAAAACAACTTACAGCTCAGACTGATACATCCTACAAAATTATCTTTCAAAATTGATGGAGAAATACAGTATTTCCATGATTAAGAGCTCCTAACGGGGCTTTCAGCTCTGAAGCCCCCTATCGTGGTAGCTGTGTACTCTTTCTCTTTCTTTTCCATCTTTTCCCCCAAATAAACTGTCATTTGCTATATGCCCCTCCCCCCAAAAAAAGAAAAAAAGGCACCTAAGGAAATTCATTTCCATCAAACCAAACAATTCTTAAGCACATCACAGGAAGAGGCAATGAGGCTAACAAGGACATAAGGTACAACAGAATGAATATACCAGGTAGGGTGAGCAGTTAAGGAGGAAAGAAAGGGAATCAGCAATAGGCAAATAAGGCAATGAGAGGAATAAATCATTATCTATCAGTAATAACTCTGAATGCGAATGGTCTCAATTCCCCAATCAAAAGGCACAGATTGGCAGAATCGATCATGAAAGAAAAGTATGCTATATACAAGTATGCTATATACCAACAGTATACTACATACAAGAAATATTTAACCCAAAAAGAAATTCACAGACTGAACAAGGATGAAAAACAACATTCCATGCAATGGGAACCTGATAGGTGTATGAGGTAGGTATAGCTATTTTTTTCAGACAAAGTGGACTTCTTGCCAAAACTGATCAGAAGAGGCAAAGAAAGTCAGTGTATATTGGTTAAGGGAACAATCAACAGGAAGTGCTAACAATTATTAACATATATGCACCAAACAATGACATATCCAAGTTCATAAAAAGAGCCCATACTGGGCATAAAAGACCAGATAAATATCAATACAATTATAGTGGGGGACCTCAATACCCCACTGTCACAAACAGAAAAATCCACAAAAAGTATCAGAGTTGAATAAAAGCTTTGAGCAAATGGACTTACAAGAAATCTGCAAAATTCCACCTAACAACAGAATACAC